CCCGGAGAGAACCCACGCTGCACGGGGAGAACATGCAAACTCCACGCAGAAAGATTCCGGTGCCCCCACCGGGACACAAACCGGCAACCTTCTTACTGCGAGGCAACAGTGCTACCAACTGCGCCACCTTGCAGCCCTTTCTTAACTCGTCAGGAAAAAAAAAAAAAAGAAAAATTCTGCAGGAAAATTTTGCTGACATCAACTGCACCAAAATTCTAACAACCTAAACAATGCATATGGGAAAATAAAGGTGGGAATGAACAAACAGATGTGGATGATTTAAAAAGGATTTTATTTGTCTGGTCCAGTTGCCAGGGATAGTCAGTTTATGAAATGAACATACATAATGTGCTGGCACAGATTTGATAACAGAAGAGAAAGAAAAACATAAATGTTATGACAATTTGAAATGAATATGTGACTTATAACCATAACCAAAAAAGAAAAAGAAAAAAAAAATAATCTGAAACTAAACATCAAATGCGCCATCTAATTCAAAGCAAATAAATACACCTCTGGATGACGTCGGGATTTCTAGGGGAGAATTGCACAGAATCAAAATATGGTGTTTACTACCACATACTAGTCTTAACAAACACATAAATACAAACATCCACTAATTCCATATGCACTCTTCCACGCACGCTGCTAATCATATCATTTTTTTCTAATTGCTGCTCTCAACATTATTTTTCACATCTGTAATGCAATCTCATTCAAACAGTACATTTCTTGGAGGCAGTCAGTGATTTGAAAGTAGACAGCTGCACCACGGCAGCTGCTGTAGTGCTAAGGACTGCGAAGGAAGAGAAGAAGATAGTTTCCCACAGAGTTTTGTAGTGATATTGACCTTATCAGTCAGTTTTTCCTAATAACATGGACACCGGCAAAAAAAAAAAAAAAGAAAAAAACGAAGCAGTTTGGCATTTTACATACCCCCAGTTGCAAATGAAGGAGTCTCTAGAGACTGTGGGGTGGATGAGGGCTGTTACAGTCCGCAATGATCCTTCATCAAGAAACCTACTGTTTATATGTCAGGACACACAAACAGGGAATAATATAACAGAAACAGACTCCTAGTGACCTAAAGGATTTATTAATCCCTAAACAAACAGGTTCAGCAATTTCAGCTGTTTGACAAATTCTTTTCATTGTCATTCACTCATTCTCATCTCAAACATCCACCTCACTAATGCTTAAGCAGCAGGCTAGCTTATTCGTAGCTTACAAATGTCAACTTACTTTTTACAAATCATTGTCAAAAAAAAAAATCTAAGTAATCAGCATTCAGTATATATTAAATCAGCATTGATTATCATTTTCACACAGAGCCGTATCCAAGTAATGATAAACATGATAAAGCCCTCCTTCATTGTTCCAGTATTCTTTTTCAAGACAAGCTCAGATAACATTTCAATTCAGCACATGTTGAAAATGAGAAAGCAAGTTAAGAGGAAAAAGTCACGTGAATTTCATTCTTCTTTCAGCATTTAAAGGCTGAATCAATTTGTCCAGCAAAAACATGTCAAAATAGTATAAAAAAACATCCAGATGTCTACAGCTGAAGAAAAGTTGGAGTGGAGCGGTGTGCACAAACTATGGGGCACAGGTAGTTTCTAGGTGTGCGAGTCCACTGACAACCACAGTAGCCTCCACCAGTGCAACCCACAGAAGGACCACCCACCATAGTATTTTCTAGTGCTGACCAAACAGTGAAAACACCCCTGAATGGAATGAGTGATTAGTGTGTGCCCTACATTCATATGAGAGCAGTGTTACCTGCTATTCATTTTCAGCTGAGATCTCCTATGAGAACTGAGAGCTTGTCTCAGTCGACTGGAGAGAGAGTGAGCCCTGGAAGAAGAAAAGGCAGCAAAAGGAAAAGCAAGCAGAACGAAGAGGGGTGGGAACTACTTGTGCCCAAAATACTGTTGTGCGGGCAAAGGCAGTGTGGTTGTCCCCTCTTTTTCTTACCTAAGAGTCACAAAAATGACTCAGGCATGGCAGGGTAAGGCAAGGCATGAGGAGGCAAGGGAAAGAGAATTCTTCATCCTGATAGAATTGGTTGCATTACATTTTACAATCTAGGTAGACCAGGCAGTGCCTGTCAGAGGCTCTCAAGAGACAAACTATTGCGGATGCATTGGCTGACTGAGTGAGTGATTGGCCCGTTCTCTTGGCATGTAGAGTTGACTGAATTATTCCTGGGGTCCGGGCTGATAACTGGCCAAAAACCTAATCAGTCATGCTGTCCGCTGCTATTCCAACTGGATAATGGACAATCTCAAGTGCCACACTCGCCATAGTGGAGGAAAATAAAAGTCATTTTGGGAGTTTTTTCCCTGAATGGTAACATCCCTACCCATCATTTTAAGTCTTTATTTGGGGGTGCCAAGCTTTTTGGGAGTTCCTGGGCGCTTTTGCCAAAAGTGGCCGGGGATGGTGAAGGCGTCAACACTCATGGACATGGTTTTGGACGGGATGACAGTGAACTGCTTGCGGTCAGAGCTGTACTTGTAAATGGACTCTACCATTTCAGCTGTGATGATGCGGGGGCCAATGCCAGTGAGCCGTACCATCTCCTCAGTTTCAGGGTTCATGGTGTAAACTGCTCTGAATTGGCAGCTGGAATCTCTGAAGAGGATGAGGAAGTGATTGGCTGTGCTCTTCTCCATTTCCTGAAGAAACAGATGCAGAGAAAGAAAAGATCCAAGTTAAGTTTGTCACTTACAGCATGGTTAGAGGGGGGCTTCTCTGTTGGACTCTGACACAGCAGTATGGTTTACCTCTACAATCTTGTTTTTCTGTGGTTCGTTGACCTTGCCAGCCAGGCAGCAGCGAGTAATGGCATTATGAATGATGAACTTGTTGGACTTAAAGCTAGGCTCCTTGTATAACTTTGGGCCTGCAAGACATGACATTTCCACATGTCAAATATCAAACAAAACAATGCTTACTGGGTTAATATTTACAATGTCTTAGTACGGGACATATCACTGACCTGTGTATTCTGGGATTGAGGCAGGGGAGGAAATGGTGGAGCCATTTTCCCAGTCTCTCTCTCCATTCTGGGCACTCATTCGTCCTGGTGACATTAACCGAGACCGGGAGGGGGAGTGTGAACGGCTAGAGAGAATTAAAAGAGCTTTGTGAGAAAAGTCAGTTGTAGACCCTGAGGCTATGTGTACATATTGTATGTTACATGCACCTTTGCACCTGATGAGACTGATAATAGGTACCTCAGTGCAGTTGGTATACAGTGATACACAAACACACTCACACAAATCAACGACTCTGATATCAATACTCTGAAAGAACTAAAGTAACCCGTCTTCATTATACTCCTGTGAAATATAGTTTAGTCTCATATAACGATATTAATATTGCACTGATATATTGCCCAGTTCTAACCTATTTTAGCAAATTTCCAAACATTGTGTAAAGAATTCTTTTTTTTTTTTCTACCTCTGACGTTTAAAATAATCTTGGCGCTGTTTCAGGCTGAATTATGTGTCTCACACTTTCCAAGCATTTATTAACAAAATGCATGCCATCATCACTGTGCGGGTTACCTGGGAGACTTCCTGATAGTCAAGCCTCCAGTGTCATTGGCCATGGAGGACAGATTCATGGTTGAGTGGGAGTACACCTTGTTCAACTTAGTGCCTACAGTGAGGAAAAGTGGAAAGCAAAAATAAATGATAATGAAATACCAAACACACCTAAGTGTAAGACAAGGACATATCAAGATTGAGAATTTTGATGGTAAAAAAAAAAGAATTATTTACCCATGAAACCCTTGGCAGGGCTATGAGAGAGGACAGAGTCATCTCTGAACACAGTCTTGGGTCTCTGCTTCTTGACACCACGGACTGTGGTGGGTTTTTGCCTCAGCACCTTGTCCAAGTCTTCCATGATCTTTAGCTGCTGTCTCCTCTCATATTCCTGCCTAGTGAAGTCTCCTCTGCGTTGGGGAGTCCCCTCTACTGATGGGGTGTGTGATGCTGGAGGGGTGCCTGGGGTCTGAGGTCTGTCCTCACTCTTATTTCCCCAGCCTTCGATGATCATCCACTGGGGCTTGCTAAAAGCACAAAGAGATTGTGTGTAAATGTTTGAATGTGTGATATTTCAAAACCAATTATAAAAACACAAGGACACTGCTGTATCAAACAAGTAAATGCAACAGCTGGTTTAAATAATTACATTCAATTAAATTAATAAGGATAGTGAACTTATAAATCCTAATCAACGTCAGTTTATGCTGATAATAACTTGGATACAGTAAAGTTCAAACTTCACAAGCCTGACCAAATAAAGTGAAACATAGTCAATACTGCGATCTTAATCTGGCTATGAATACAAGCATTTGAAAGAAGAAGGATCTTACTTTGATTCTTTTTCTTTCTCCTGCTCAAGTTTGCGTCTTTTCATCTCTTCTGCTCTCTTCTGTTGTTTCTCTAGTAAAGCTGCTCTTCGCTGGGCCATCTCATCCTCCGGTCGATCCTTGTCATCCTAATAATAAAGACAGAAAAAAAACAAAAATTTGAATGCACCCATCTTACAAAGTCAATTTTTTAAAAATGGCATATACAGTAATAATAAATCACCAACCTTGAAAAAGAAACCAACTCCGGCTTTTGCCTCTGGCTCTGTCCGGTCGCTCATCGAGTCAGAGAAAGTGTCAGGCAACTGGTCATCCTCCTCCCCTTCTCCTCGCAAGGCAGACAGCGAGATCTCTATCAGGCTACTGCGTTTGCCATTTAACATCCCTGCAGGGGCATCACTCTCAAACGAGCACTCCGATGGGGCACCAGAGCTGGAACCCCCTCCTACAAGTCCTTCCTTCTTAGCCAAAGGACCATGCAAGGGCCCTACTTCGAGGTCCATGCTAAATATACTATGTCCATCATTGGAGCCTACCTCTGACAGGGTGTCATCAGGGGGAGGATGGGGAGTTGGGGTAGGAGTTGGTATAGGAGTTGGTATAGGGGTCAGTGTTGGCGTAGGGACAGGAGTCGGTCCTGCTGAGTGCAGATCATCAAGGCTCTTAGAGTCACCAATAGAGAAGGAGGATGAAGTCTGGACTTGGGATTGCAGGGGATTTACACGACGAAGATGGGGGATGCGGTCCACATTTTGAGGCGGGTTGAGAACCCTCGACAAGGTTGGGACCTTAATGTCCAATGGACGACTGTGTTTAGGGCTTTTAGGGGGTACAGATTGGGCTCTTCGATGGACTTGAGGAGATTTTGGAGGAGTGGTATGGTTTGTGATTTTGCGGGATGGAGAAGGAGAGGAGGAAGCTGAATTTAAGTCTCGTGTAGATTCTCGGGACAGGCGTGTAAGAGGAGGGGCCGGGGTGGAGGTCTTAGGGCTGGCTGGAATAACCCAGGATTTGTTGCTGGAAGTTGCAGCCTTTTTCTTGATTAGCTGATTCTGCTGCTCAGTCAGTCGCTGCATGTCACTTTGCAGGGAGCTAAGAGCTGCAGTTAACTTGGACACAGCATTGTTATAGTCCCCTAAAGGAGCTACCATTTTCTCACCAGGTGTCCCCGAGGACTTCTCTCCTGGTGTGCCTGCTTTTTCTTTGGACAGACCGACTGGTTTGTTGACTGCAAGTTCTCTCTTGACATTTCCCTCATCCTCCACTGAGGGGCGCTGTTCATCTTGTTCCTGCTGCTCTTCCTCCTCCATTCGAGCTAGTCTTTCTTCTAGTGTCAAGCGTGACAGGTCTTCTTCTGTGGATGAGGTGCTGACCTGGCCATCCTCTCCCTTCCCCTCACCTTCATCGCCACGTTGCTCCTTCTTTAGCTGCAGAAAGGCACTCTTCCCCAGTCTTTGCCGATGCTTTGCGAAAATGGCCTCAATGCGTTTCTTCTGAGCTTCGATAGCTTTGCGCTTTTCTTCAAGTCGAGCCCCCAGCTCGGACATATCATTATTGAGTTGTGGGCTCTTGCTAGGGCTTTCTTCAGATTTCTGTGCCCACGTAGTCATCTGGGGAGAAGACGGGTCGCTGGCTTTTGGAGAATCAGCAATCTGTTTATTCTTGCGTTCTGCAAAGCTTGTCATCTTCACACCGCTGTCAGGCTCTTTACCATGGCCTCTAGCAGAGTGTGCACCAGCAGCAGGTGTGGTTGGAGTGGAATGGGCCTTTGGTAGGTCTTCTGATGCATCTGAATCCACACTGCCGTCTCTTAAGACTGAGTCATCATCTCGTGAACATTCAGAGGTGTTTCTTGTGCGAGCAGGCTCTCTGGACTCTCCCATCGGCCGGTACATCATTCCTGAGCGTGTTGGAGCAGAGCAGCTAATGGGGGCCAAGTTGCTGTTATATCTAGAACTAGCAGGGTCATCAGGAGAGTGGAGGTAGAAGCCATCAGGAGCACCATCGGGGTGTAAACGAGGCTCCATCTTGCTTTCGTTGTGAATAATTTGGAGAGCCTCTTCAATGGTGGGCAGCTCTCCAGTTTCATTTGTCCCGAGGCCATTCTCCTCCGCTAGCCTTGGAACACTGGGAGTCTGGGTGGACCATGATGCTCTCTGCGGACCGTTGGGTCCAGGGGCTTTGCTAAGTAAATGGCTGAGGTCTTCAGGTGGAGTGTAGGGCACTCGGGTCATGTTTTGGCCAACAGGGTTGAGTTGATCTGAGCTCACAGAGCGGGTTATCACAGGGTTGCCCATCACAATGTCCACATCGCTGTCCAAGCCAAAAGGAATGCTAAAGGATACTGCTGACAAGGGCCGGCTAAAAAAGAAAAAAGGGAACATGAATGCAATAAACAAAAAGTTTAAAAGACAGTGTCTAAATGTCAATGTGTACATGGATTCTACCTGAGAGGTTTCTTGCTCCATGTCTTTCCAACTCCTTCTATATGAGACATTGAGGTAGACTGAGTCAAAGATCCTGAGTACAATGGGACACACACACAGACATGTAAAGGCATGCAAACCACACAGGGATGCACAAATCAACCAAACAATACACCAATGAAAGGAAAAATATGTACAAAAAGTTCCAAATACCCATAAAAATAAGAAAACAGAACAGCACAAAACACAACTAAAGGACACACAAGGATTGAGGGAAATAGGTGAACCAGATTGTAAAATGATTCTGTAACTTGATGTGATGATGGCAGCACACAGTCTTAATCTTACCTGACGCAGGGGAGGAAATGGGGAGGAAAGGCTTCTTGAAAATGGAGGGGGAGGTACTGTAAGGTGAGAAAATAAAATTTTGGTTCAAGTGTTTCATCCAAAGAATATGTCATCCCATTACAAGAGCAAATTCACATTCAGAAAGCTTCTGTACCTGCTCCCACTCAAGCTACTTGGTGTTACTGGTGTAGATCCATCTGATAAAGAAGAAACCACCAGTCAGACTATGTACCAGGAAATAAATATTGTGACTTCAATGGAAATATTTAAGGACCACACACTGGTGACACCTACCTAATGTGTCTATTGGCTGAACAAAGTCCGGCCTTCGTACTTCAAACCAGCTGAGCAGTTCTGATAGGAAGCTCAGCAAGTTGAGCTAAACAAATCAAATGGAATAAATAAGGCATAAAGAAGACAATACAGTACATAGTATTTTTGCTAATTTGCAATTAGGTCGACTAACGATCTGGGCGGGGTAAGTACCTGAAGCTCCTGCGGTGTGTAGAGCAAGTCCTCCAGTGCCAAGTGACAGCAGCTCTTCAGACAGCTGTCACAGAATTCACGGATGAACTGCAGGTTATACAGGCTGTCTGTTACAGACATGGAATCCTTCATGCAAACATCTTACAGAGAAGAGAAAAGAAGTGTTAAACTGACATAATCAACACACATACTAAGACGCTATTTATACAGTAAATGTTAATAATATTTGTCAGTACCTTCAAGTCTCAGCAGGCCAGGGCAATAGTAATGTATCACGGCAGCAATAGCACAACCACTGGAAAGGTCTTTAACTTCATTTACCACTGGAAAGATGGGCTTTATTTTGGACTGAATTTTATCCTTCCTGTAGCGGAGCTATAAAAACAAACAAACAAACAAACAAAAATAAGTAAAACAATCAAATACTGCAGTGTCACATGAATAGTACTTTTCTATATTTGATATATTAGTAAATGTTATCATCATAATTGTCATAGTCAAGGTTTTTCAAACACAGGAGCATACTCTTAAGTATACACACAGTGATATACAACAGAAAATGTTGAAACTCAAATCTAATATAAATGTGACAAAGAGGACAAATAAAAGTCATGCCTAAGCCACGTGAAAAGGAGAAGCATAGGTGACCCAATGGTTGATGCAAAGACAGTGATTGAATCAGAACAGAAAGAAGGAAGGTTTTGTCAAGAGAAAGTGGGTCAAGTGAGGATCTCAGGAGGCAAATAGAAAAAAAGAACCAGGTACAACTGCAGTGTACAGACAAACAGCCCACTGTCAGCAGGGCCCAGCTGACTAGAAGCCTGTCTCTGCTAACCCCCGTAGCAATTCACAAACACACACACACACCTCTGTCACACACCAGAGGAACCAGTTGTACATGGCAGTTTCAAAGGCCTGCTTTAATACAGACTGTGATTCATGCACCACTCATGTGTTCACAAACAATGCCTTTGGAGCCCGTGTCCTGCCCCACTGTATCGCATTTATGCTGTTAGGTGCAATTTAATGCAGATTAGGATATGATGCATGATGCATTCTCACACCAGCTTATGGGGATAAAACACACCTGACCATCAGGTATTTGCTGATACATTTGATGAAGACACTGGAGGGATGGAGGGACAGGGGGAGGAAGCAGAGGAAAGGAAAGAACTTACAGGAACAAGTTTCCAGTACCAGCGAGTAGGACACTGTCAGAGGAGAGGAGGGACAGGAAATAGAGAAAGACAGGGAAATGAAGAACAGGAGCACAAGGAGAGGTATTAAGTCTACAGTGGAAGATCTAGACAAACAAGAGAAAGAGTTGTGATGACAGTCCTTTCTTGAGATAGCACGACAACCTTGTTGACAAAGGAATGACACCGCCCTTGTATTTAATATGTCAAACAACGCTTGTTAATCTTCCACAGTAAGTGTCAGGAAAGGACCGCAATTGCAGAAAACGCAACAATATGAGCTAAATGAACTACACTATCATGACCCTGTCTTCCTCTCGCAGCATAGTCCTGCAGGGGTCTAACAAAGCTGCAATTATTTTTAAGTCCATTGTTTTACCAGACACAATCTGCTATATAAGAACTGGACGAAACCATAATTAAATGGCCCAGAGCTGCTGATGGTGAGTAAAGACCAAGACTAGATTATGCTCTGTCTTCTCAGACTCACTGGATAGCTGAGGATAACACTCACACCTTTCCAAAAGCTTCCATACTTTATGCACACCTGGCACAGCGAAGGCACCTTCATTTACTTAGATCACTTACGGTAAACCTCCAGAAAAGAAGTAGGATGTATTGATTACTTAACTTAAGCATTTTTCTAAACATTAACTTATCTTCAAAAGATATAAATAACTTTTGTCCCCCATTGGATGAATAAAAGCTAATATTTTCACACAGACTTGTTTTTATTAGACTTTAAGACAGTCTTTTCAAATATGAAGAGGAGAGGAGCCATTCAGTTTAAATGTATTGGTTAACCAGCAGTTCCAATATTGCCACTGAGGCACAAGTAAACATCAGCTGTCTGTTCAGTCTACAAGACAAAGCATATAACAGGTAGCGGATATGAATATGTAGGCTGTTGCGTATTCTTTACTTTGGCATTTAGATGCGTTATGGAGGTGGACTTTTATTTCCAGAGACCTCAGGCACCCTTCCTCGATTTCATCAGTGGTGGCTTTAGAAGGGGATGAGAGGAGCACTTGTGACAGATCATTACTGAAGCTCACTCTGACCCCACCTGATGATTCAGTATTCTTCCTACCATTACTCCCCACACAGCCTCTCTAAAATGTTGCGCAAAGCTGCACCTGACTCCGCCTGGTTTGCAACAGCAACTGTGGTTACCAAAATTGCTGGTCACGCCCATTCATGTTTGTGCCTGGGGATTTTGCTTGTATTTGCATCTGTGCCCTGTTTCAGGAAAATGGAGCCCAGAGTGCATAATCCCACACGGATTATGATGTGTCTTTGGATGTAATAGTGTGTAATAAGAAATAAAAATACTTTAAATTTAGAATGCTGTACTCACAGAGGGTTGAACAGGTTGGGGCTCCGTAATGGCCTGAGACGAGTCATTCTCAGCTCCTTCATTAAGTTCTCTCAGCTTCTGGTTTAACTGAGGAAATGGTAAGAGGACAGAACAGTTATCTCACACCAATGAAGGATTTGTACTCACACAGCAAAACATACACAAATGTAGTAAGACATAAGAGGTTCTAGAATTACAGCATCTTAATATCTGAAGGTAAACAGACACAAGTTCATCTACAACTGAGGACTTAGGACAAATCTGAACAATGACTTATTTCTGACAGAAGATGTGTGCTTGAAACAGGTATTGTTTTTCTCTGGCCTGCTACTTACCCCTTTAACCCAATGAAGCAGAGCATCCTCCCAGCTAGAAGCCCCGCCCAGTAGCTCGGCAGAGCCACATGTCTTCACCGCAGCCACCGTCTCCATGGCTCCCACGACCATCAAGGCATCTATCACTGCCAGGTGAGCACTCTGCACCAGCCACATGGGAGAAGAAAACAGAGCAGCTGAGGGCCATCGAGCTCAGACAGCATTAATCAATTATAGCTAACACAATAATGTTGGACAATAACATTTCTACTGCTTACTGCAGAACACATATCTCCTCTATCTGCTGCATCATTACCATTTATTTACCCTCAGCATCCTCTAGAGGTCACCAGAAGCCAGCTGTGAGTCAGCAGAAACTGACAAGCGGTCTCAGCAAACACACACATCAGTAGATGTGGGTGAACTTTGGACTCATGCTTGTATACTCATTAAACCATTAAATAGGCAATGGACCTGTAATATGATAACATGTGTGTCCAGGGACTGTCATTCCTGAACTGCTTTCCCTTTTATTTGCCTTCTATTCAGCTGTTCCCCTTCCTTTTTCCACAATGAACATTTCTATGACTCATGTAAAAGAGCCTGCAGGATAAAATAAGGTCTGGTAACTAGATCAGATCACCAGGACAATAACAAAAACCACCATTTTCTATAAGAAACAACTGTTTGTGGCTGAATGTATTTGTGTTTGACAACATGATTGACAGAAAACTTATCGGACGCATTTTTTCCTCCACACAAATACAGCCAATCAAAAACATTCCTTCTATCATATAATTAACATTCCCAAGTAATTTATATCCAACATACATTTCCTCATACCGAGAAGACCATTATAGAGCCCTTTCTAACAGCTAGAGCCCATTAAAGTGCACCGCCAACATTATCAGCTCAGTCAAAGTGAGCGCCTTAACTCTATAAGCCTGTTAGGTCATTAGATGTTGTGCTTTGTTTGTGTCGTGATGATACAACCAACAGGACTTGACTCATTCACAGGTGTGACATACACATATTTGACTCATTTAAGATTTATTTATCCTTCCATTTTTTTTTTCACGATATAGAACACCATCTGTCTTCTCTCACATTTTCCTCCAGTTTTCCATTGTTCACATTAAGATGATCAGAGCTGGAAAATAAAGTTCTCTCTAGTGTCAAAAAAAAAAAAAATCAATCGAACCAAAGTTCATTAACAAAGTCAGAACACCAGGGCTAGGAAATAAGTTGTAGACAACAAGACTGGAGGTGACAATGATTTGCCCAAGAGATTATTGTGTAAACAACTCTTCCTCCTTTGTCAGTTTATTTATGATTCTTCAGTCTTTGCCTCATTCATTTGCATTTCTTTTAGTTGCCATTCAACATCAGCACTGGGGCCCCAATCTCCTCACTATTGGCTAACTGCAACAAGCTCCTTGTTAAAATAATTAATTCTGAACCAACAGCACATTCCTGTCATGGGGCCACTCCTCCAGTCTTCAATTTTGAGCTTAATCTGTGTAAATCAGTGCCTGTTCCCTTTTACTACTTAGAAATTCCACCTTAGAGGCCAGACATTCTTATTCCAGCCTCTTATGTAGCCCCTGATGGGTCCTGGTGGCAGTCCAGCTGCGTGCATGAGCCCTGTCTACATGTCTGCCTACTCAACCCTGATGTAAAGTGCTGACCTGGGCAGGCCCACTGCTGGGGCGGGCATGGCGGGCTATGCCAGCAAAGGCTTGTCAGATAGTATTGGGACAAGCTCTCTGGATGTGCTGCAGTCAGTCACTGGGAGCAATGTGGCCCTGACTGGCCTGCCCTTCAAACACTGTTGCCAACACTGGCGTTGCTCCTCATGTGTCTCATGTGTCGTGACTTGTCTTTTCAGTGGAATTGTATTTGGCACAGATGGGGACAAATTGCATAAGACAAGGAATAAGGCTGAGGTGCCTAAAGAAAGAAAAGTTTCAAAGAACTATTATTTAGCACTGATAACTGAAATAAGTAGAGCTTTACATAAATTTGAATATACATTAATATAGCAACTTTTATATTGCAATTATAAGAAGATATTATATTATTGCTTTACAAAATTCTATAATAATAATAATAATAATAATCTTTAGCAACATTAAGCTATTTTTTTCTTATTTTTTTAAATGTGAGAAATTCTGTCTGATGTAAACAGAAAAAAATCAAAAATATTTGATTATTTTTATGTAGGATGTTACAATAATTTGCAAAACTGTAATATAAACTCCCAGGACACTTTATTGAGTACAGTTACCCAATATCATGCAATCCACTGTTTAGATTACAGCTCTGCTACAAATTCTACATATCAGGCTTATAATGGACAGTTTTTATTACAATTTTATTACAAAATGTGTTTCTAATATTCTTGCCCCGTCATATTTGTAAACGGGGAGGGCAGATCACTAGAAACACAGCTCAAAATAAAGCAGTCCAGTTCAACGCTATAGCAAAGTGCCTAAAGTTAAAGTTTATGGCTGTTGCACTGGATTACATTAGAATATATTGTTGTACCAAATACAGTAGCCACTAAGTGGATATTAATATTGAAAATACTATCTAATATTGATTACACCCATTTTGTTATCACATCTCTTTCTTCAGATGCCACTAAATTCTTTCAGTAGCTCCAACACTCCATATGAAAACAAAGTGATTTAAGGTAGTAACACATTTTTGCATTGAGCCACAAAGTGTAATTATAGGTGGGAGCTTTTGCCACAGTATGAAAGGAGACAGGATGACTGAGACAAAAAGAGAGAATGAATGACAGACCAAGAGAAACTGGCCAACTCTGCTGTCATGCTGTACAGTAATTATTCAGTGGAGAGAGTCGAGGGTAATTCATGACAAAAAGTGCAGAATGGAAGGGGAAAATGGAGGGGGTGTTGCTAGTGGATTTCCCGTCGCAGACCCAGGAGAGCTCGCTAAGCTAAATCACAAGTCTCCCTAATGAGAGGAGAGAGAGGAGCAACTCGAACGCACAGCTCAGAGCCTGCCAGATCACCATAACAACCAACCAGCTGACCCACAATGCATCTCAGTACAAGCCTGACTGCAGCACTGCTCTGTGCTCCTGGCTTAGCCCTGGCTCTCTGCTTGGAAACATTCAGCACCCCTCAAACCAATGTGACAGAGAGAGAAAAATTAATACCACATCAATTAACCCCATCAACGTTAAATCTTTTTTGGCCTTATTTGACAAATCTGCTTGCATAACCGTGTCAACAACTCAGACAAACAAAGAATGCAAAGGGTTCTTGTTGATCATTAGGTGAGATTATGATAAAGGCAAAATCTGATTATGTCTAAAATATGACTTAACCCCCATCCCCCTACACTGACTGGTGCCTGTTGATGGGGAGACAAACAGAGGGGAGGGTGGGTGGGGGGGAATCAGGCAGGCCTGGGGCCCAGCAGGGGATTTTGGAAAGGAGGTTATATGAACACCGATATGTATTAGAACTGTAAGCTTTAGAAAGGAAAACCACTGTGTGTTAGCTTCACACCATACTTGTTTACCATTCAGCAGATAAGTTTAACTACTACTGTGCATTAGTTTCCAACCAGGAAAGGCCCAAAGCAGAACAAACGGTGTAAGATGATGGTTAGTGTTTCTGATAGTCTGCCACTTCTGTTTGCAGCTAAGCTCCTGACTGAAGCTCACTTGACCAGAAACCTGCCAACACAGCAGTACGATTTAAGACCAAGTGTCACTGCCTATCCAAAACCAACAGGGGACCAGGAAGAGGGTTAGCTGCATTATGGCTACATGACTTGCTTTGCCACTGTGGGAACCAAATGTTTAACCGTGCCTCTAGCATAATCAATATCAGTATGTTTGAAATGAATAATAATGATCGTATTCTATCGTCACAACACTAATAAATGTAACCAATTAGTCTGACGTTGTGAGGCATGTTAGGTGCATAGTGAGCCAGTGGTCATCTCTGTCGTGTCATCCAGTCGTGGATGATGACGTTCAGTCTGCATGGCAGATTATCTCTAATCTTCAAAGATCTCTATCCTCAATCTGAGGAGTGATGGGGGCTGGGCCACCACCACAAGTACAGTTACCAGTAGAACACACACGTATAAGAAGTCATGGGTGGAGGCCGCTGGAGGCCCTGAACCCTATCCCAAAGAGGCTGAACGATTTGCTGTCGACAAACTTCCCTTTCAGGATGCCTCTAGCCTATATAGATGATGGAGCTATCTTTGATTGCATAAGTGCCATTCATGTACTGTTCAAGACACCTTTTCAACACTCTCCAAAAGTGCTGCAAAAGCACCAGTCTATACAAACAATCTACTTACACTTTCTTAAGTTTTAAAATATACAAGTGTTTTGCAAAAAATATTACAATATAGTTTAATATTGGACACGGGGTTTCCTGTTGTTGGTACCATGTATACACACATATCGAGCATCCATGGGTTTACAAGACACCACAAGTAGATACAAAGTAAATCCACATTTGCAAGTGAGACCAAACATCACAAGAATTTCTGAAATGACAAAAGTTAGTCTTTAAGATCTTTGTGTTTTCAGGTAAATTAATAGGTTACAGATATAATATTTATATTACAGCAAACTCAAAACCAGCTTACAAAAACAAGATTTAGTATCTGTCTTTCTTTTCTGAGCTACTTTTTTTTTTTTAAAGATTCAACTCAAATGAAACTCAATTCAAAGGAAAATGTGATCTACAACTCACACCACTTCGTTCCTTTCAAAATATTTTTCAATCTGTTAACTGAGGAATTTCAAGGTCTAAAAGCAGGGGCAAACAGCAAACACTTCTTCGTTCTGTAGGAGCAGTGTGAGTTTGATAAAGAGAGTAAATACTCTCAAACAGTTCTGAATGTATTAGGTGAGCTACAGTGTGTCTCTTTTGCCCGACTTTAGCACTAATATTGTAGTATTACAGGCAGCAGGTCACTGGTGCTCCACACTGACAGCGATGCATCAAACCAAGTCAGTACCAGCATCTTTCCGGTTTAGAATGAAACCGCATCAGTGGATTTACACAACACAAACTTCAAGCAACAGCAATGATGTAGGATGTGTGATGTACCACAAACACAATAACAAGTCATTAGCAGTGCATGGCTGGGCAAATTAACTGCAAACAGTGTTCACCTGTCAGTGACAAGCATGACTCAACATGCTTTTCTGTACAAACACTATATGTTATCCTCTTGTCCGTCACAAAGCAGTGAAGCTTTAATATACATCAGTCCTGCAGCAGATTGCTGCTGCAGCTGCAAAGCCATTTACTGGCCAAGACCCACATTGATGCTACATCCTTCTAATGCTGCAGCATGACCCACTTCTTTGCTTGCCACACTGTAGCTGCAGTGCCAGTCCATGGCAGACAAGCTCAAAGAGCAGCCAAGCAGTGACTGGAAGGCTCATATACCAAAACAGCAAATACAGCATTAACAGTAGCAGCCAAAATAAGAGTTTAGTGATTAGGATTTACAGCTGAGATGAACCACGGTCTGACCTGGAACCATCATCCAAAGCTAAGACGTACGCGAGCATGGCATGCGAGCACAGAAATTTATGGACACAACCTTTAAAGTGACATCCCACATGGATGACTTGTATCATTAGGCCATAAAAAATTCTGGTGCTGTAGCAAAGGTGCTGAGAAAATTTGTAGTCATTATTCCTGTCAAAATAATTGTTAATGTTGGTGTCTGTGGGAAATTTTGCATATGTTAGTGCAGGTGGTAATTGTCAGAAATCCTGCAAGAGCAAGTGAGTGCAGGGGTTAGAAAACAAAATCCGCACTGGTCTCTGCTTGAAGGACGATGTAACCTCACATTTAGCGCAACTGACAAGTTTTTGGCAGTAGATGCTAGCAAGAGAAGCACAGGATGCTGAATAAACACTTGGTAATAGTAAACAGAAAGGAAATCCCAGTCAAAACAAACACTCTGTCTTTACCAGCTTTCTTTCTGCACTGCATCTTTCATCTTTATCTGTACAAAACAACCAGTCAATCTGTTTCTCCAGTGTAACTTCAGAAACAGACAGTATTTACATCAATTTTGCCGTTTTAGATATATCTATACCACAATCACATCAAAATCACATTAACCAACATCCAAATATACTACTTTCTACTACTGCTAATGACCACTGTCTTGTTTAGTTCAGAAACCGTCACAGATGCAAGAACAAACGTTGAAGCATACACCTGAGCTCATCATCACAATAGTGTATCAGCAGTGCATTGCCTGCTGCAGTGGCCAGCAGACAGCAGCCGTGGAACAAATGGCATTCACCTAAATACACCATTTTCTCTACAAATCCCCGTAGAGTCCCTACTTAGCTTTCAAAACCAGACTGTATGAGCATGAACCAAGATGGCTGGGAAATTGCAGTTGTATGCCATTTTGTGGGGAGGATAATAATCTGTATAATGGGAGGATTTAAAGGAATACTTCCAAATTGAGATACAGTGAGATGATGTGTCAGCTGAGACAGAAAAACAGTACATATTCTATTAGATATAAAAGCATCTGTTTGTAAGGTTTTTAGACTGAAGAACTATATCATGTTTGTATGAGAATGAAAGAAAGAGAGAAGGATCTATTGTAAAAGGCTGAGAGGACAAACCTGTTCTTCCTGATTTAACTGGCTGAGTCAGCCCAGAGTACTCGCTCCACACACAGTATCTAAAGTTTCACCAGAACTGTTCAGCTATTGTTCTGATCTGGACCACTTATTGTATCTAGACTCTCGCTGTGTCTCACACCCTGAAAGTAAAGTAGTCATCCCTTGTGTCACCGTGACTGCCCTAGTCCGTGCAGCTGGATCCACTCATCCTCTGGGATCAGCTCGGGCAGCACAGGGGGGTGGGGGTGGGGCTGAATGAGAGGGGGTCTTTTTGATGTCCTTTAATCCCTAGAATCAAAGCATAAGCATGCCCCTATACAAACAACCAAGTGAACTTGACCCTTTCTGGTTTTCTATAGACTCCTAGATAGCAGAGATTCTGTTCCACAGCAGGAGATATGTACCCCTCAGGTGATGGACAAACATTTAAAAAGAAGAAAAAAGAAACAGTTTAGTCCAAATGGAAGTATCATGACATTACCATTTTGATGGGTTTATGTCGTAGGTCTGCATCAGTTACTGTTGTATCCTGATCTTTGGCGACTACGCCTCTCTGAGTAAGGAGCTGCAGCAGGGCAACATTGTCTTTGGGCTGTGCCTCGGCTCCATTGGCTCCCAGTAACAGGCTGTAGGTGCGACAGTAGAGCTCTGAGGACTGCAGGAGACGCGTGACTGGAGGTTTAAGATGCTCTTGTTCATACTGGTCACAGTAGAAGGGGTCACGCAGCTCTGCAGGAACATTTTCTAGGGAGGGAAAACACACAGACATGGTTAGACAAGTTCCTGCAGTGGCTCTACTGAAGAACTGTGCACAACAGTATGACCAAAGAGACACATCAGGACAGAAATGACTATCACTACTATTTACCTCATTTATTCAGTCAGATTATCATGAATATGCTCTATTGTTTCTGGCATGGAAACCTGCCTTCTGCCAGGTTTAGCAGCAGATTAAGACAGCTGGTGTATACCATAGAGCTATAATCACAAGTGAGTAGAGTAGAGCAAGCATCAAGGTCAGTGGGGCACAATGAGCTCAGAGGTTGGCATCTGCAAATTACAAGATGCTCTGCCAATTGTTTCTTGTCTCTTTTTAGACCACTTGCTTCATGTTCATTCTAAGCTTGGTGAAAATGTCTCTTTAAGAACTGTAGAGACAATGTGTATGTCACTATTGGAAATCAGTAACCTGACAGGAGCACTCACCCTCCCAGATACTAAAAACAAATAGGAAACTAATTCCGTTTAACCTCAGAGGAGGCGTAGCAAGGCAACATGTAGCATCACAAGTGACGAGATTGTTAAATAATCTGTTCAGACTGGTCTTTCTGTAAATATGAACAACACATTATCCTGGGTAAACATTATTCTAGAAACACAAGCTTGGCACACCCTCTTTTAAACTGGTTTCTCTGCAACCACACCAAACCAGCAGCAAGCCCAATAGTCCATGTCTGTGTGCAAACATACACATGAGCTAGTGTCTTGCTGTTTTAAAGGGCCCTCGGGGAAAAATAGTTGACAACCTGAAACATCAGCAGTGTGCCTGAAACACGAAGGGAGAAACTTTAAAGTTATGTGTGTTTATGCGAGCCTAACATTGTGCTTAACAGACAAAGGGGTCATTACAAGGGAGGTGTCCTTACACTCTTGTATCATTATGTAGTCATGTAATGGATCCATTGACATCAGCCTCCAAAACAAAACAGCTTGCATTGACAATGCCCTGTTCTGTGTCTGTCACTCTCGCTCCATCATGACTATAGTCGCCAGACAATATTGTCAGTCAGAGCACATGGTTCATTTTGTTGTAAATATTCTCCTGTGTGCCAAAAATATAATGTCCACTTGACTGTTGTAAACACTGTCTTAGGTCCACATAACTGTTTAGTGCATTTTTTTTTTTTTTTTTTAATTATAAAGTCCCACAGTGATGTGTTAAGAAAAACGCAAAGAAAAACTCCCCAGGAGGCAAAGCAGGATGCAAATACCACAACTCAGTGAGATGAGCCAGATGGATATGAGCATGATTTCCCTATGAGGCAGTGTGGCCAAGAATGAGGACTTTGTGTGTAACATATCAGACACAAACCAAGTACAAATTTAGAGGTTGGGAATCCATAAAAAGGCGTGCAAAAGTATGCACACACACACACCCAAAATAACAATAGTCATTCATGCACACACCTAATGTTAAAAATAAAAAGGAACAAGATGCTCATTTGTAAGCTCATGTGTAGCTAAGCCCAACAAAAACAGAAATGTGATGCCACCATAATGTTGACATCAATATACCTCCAGGGAAATATTTAGAATAAAAACACATGCTTGTGTGTTTGCATAAACTGGAGCAACCACCTCTCTGTCACTTTCCCGGGTCACGGGGTCAGTGCTTATCTACTGGTTTGAGTAAGAAGGCAAAAGTCAAATGTGTGCAAAGTTTAAGATATTGCCACATTGTCATAGTGGGTGAGCTGTGGGATCACTCCGTAAGCAGAGAAGTTAAGAAGCACGAGGAGAAGCAATTTGCCATCTTTATGGAAGAGATTTTGACCAAGACGCGTAATACTTTGTACCTGCGGGAGGTCTGTGCTGTAGCTGACTCTGTTCTCTTACCTTTGTAAGTAAGAGGAAAGCAAACTGCAGTGTCACATTGTTGTTATCATTGCAACCAGACAAGCTGAGAAAGACTACGCCATTTCAGTGATGAGATGGTATGCAAAACACTGACTCACATTAAACTGACCAAGCTCTTAAAATGCATAATAGAATTAATATAACTATAGTCAGTTCAGCTGTGGTAGCGACTATCTATACTGATGTGCATTTTTTTGATAGCCTGGTGTTAACAGAAGCCATGTGTTCTTCTCCTTCATTGACTGATTGAGCGAGCGTGCTGGTCATGTCACAGACATTACCACACGTGTCTGACAGTAATCAACAGCACGGAGCAACACAAACTCAAACAAAGTCAGGTTGAAATCAGCCAGTGTATAACTCTAGCCAGTTACTTTAGTAGAAAAAGGTTAGACAAAACCCCTTCACATTGGATTTCAAGGAGGTTGTCACAGTAACAATGCACATTAAGTAGTTCTGTCTATTGACATGGCACAGCAATTGGCAAAACCTGCTAGATTTGACAGTCTAAACTGTCGACTTCTTGGTGGAACCTTTCAGGAAGCTTGCACACGTGAAATAATTTATAAGAGCTCAGATATGCAGAGGTGTGCAAGGTAAGCATACTAGCAGGAAGCTCAGATGACAAGATTTGATGTTGAAACATCAATTAATCCACACATGCTGAGCACAACCCCATTCTATGACTTATTTTTCTCTTACTATGCCTCCTCTGGAGACCATTTTTCTAAATTAATAACTCAGCATTAAACCCTACTTGCAAAACTGAGCTATAAACATTCTCATCATGTGGTGGGAAGGATCAAACACAGATGATTATCCGCTCTCACATCTAGAACAAAGCAGGTACTGTTTTGTTGCCCCAAAACCTAGCTGTGGTGAAAGGGGCTATGCTAACATCCTACCCTACACGTGACCCCTAGTTCTGAGAAAAATACTAATGCCAACATAACTAATAAACTACAGCTTAGAAATCACTGGCAAGACATGGAGAGATTTGCCTCGTGTACATCCTAAGACTGCTATTTGACAGCCTACAGTAAAATATATATATATAATGCAATGACGCATTGATCAGATTGTGTATATGAGGTATGTCATCCACTGACCTGCAGAAATCTGTTTTGTTTCAAAATAGAGACAAACAAGCATGCATACATAACGCTTATGTATTTGATTAACAAAGCAGCACCTGAGAGAATGTACTCACAAGAAACACTACAAATGACGTGTTTTCTATTTCCATGTACCATTCACAGGCCCACTTACAATAAACATGCCACCCCTACCAGCCCTGTGTATCCTGTATCACATAAGCACAGCACTCTGCTATAGCACAGCAGCCTTACATTACATTAAAAGGCCAGTGTAAACAGGAGCACATCCTATAGACTGAAGGAGTGATTACATTATGGGTTTTCAGAACAGGACAGGACAACACTGTGGGACCAGGGGAGTATTCGTCTTGCAGATATGTCCTCAAGTTAGACCCCGACATCCAAACAGATGTGTGTGACCTGTTCTAAAGATTACTCAGACCTTTGACATTCCTGTGTGATGTGGCAATTGACTTTCTAACAGGGAAGTATCAAACTATCTCAAAACATGCTGTACAACTCAGTAACTGTGCTAAAGCATTTCCCAGAGTCCTGAGGAGCCTCATATGGTATACCGATAGGACTTTCTACCTTCTGAGTAAACACTAATAGTAAACTAACATCCTCCACAGGTCCCTGTCCCTTGTTGACTCACCATAGCTACAATGATTGGAAAAGGATGAATAATGACTGACAGGATTTTAGTATGATCCAACAGAAACTTTGTAGTTTGATGGAGTCAGCATGCTAAATATACAACTGGTGTACCTGTGGTGCAGGTACAAGATGGTCTGGTTTTAGGGATAGGGGAAAATAAAATCACAAGAAGATACCAAAGACCAAAACAAGGAATATTGAAGCTGCCACACAGACTGTTTTGTAAGCCGTAGTTAAACTATTTACAGATAGATAACAAATACACACAACTGGATAGGGTGAACGCAGAAGCAAACTGAACAAACAGAATTCACATACACAGTTTCATCCCTATGAACGTGTCTGTTTATAAGAACGGGTTTCTCCCCAGCCTAAACTTGCAAATCAAGCGTGGTCTCATTCCAATGTAAAGGCACACACTAGCTCGAGTCACCCTGAAGTGAGTCATCTGTCACACTCACTTCAAGGGCAGATCATAAATTGCAACCTTAACTAGCCACTTCTTCATCTTGCATGAAAAGCATACATAAGTTACATGGCGTGGCATTATGAAAGATCATATCAGACTGTCTTTTTATAGGGACATATATTCAAAATGTATGTAATGGTGGGATTGCATGTTGTTTTTGTTTTTTTATCATAATAGGGAACTAAAACCATAATCAAATATAGGACGTATGCACACTTCACGTTCCACCTACTACTAGTGTGAGGAGTTTCAGTGCAAATGGCTTTATCTCCTCTCTGTTCTACGGGGCTGGTCCTGCATTTCCTTGGCTTCTCGCCTTGAAACATGCCTTGTCTCATGCTAACATAGGTATTTCAGTTCAAGCCTATAAGCAGATTATTGTGACTGCACATGGATTCATGTTAGGGTAGCTTATACTGGAATAGAGATATTTTTTTTCAATTATTTTATCTTTGTATTTCATGTCATTAGGCCTTTGCCAATTACTTTTAAATAAAACAATCTGCCCTAACCAAACAATCACCTAAACGTGGTCCATGTGAAGGCCAGTTCTGTATTGCGAAGACTCTGATTAATAAGGTTACCTATTGTCATCATTAGGTTAACTGACCTAGAAGAGATGGGGACCAGATGACCCGGTCTGGCTCTCTTCCTCTACCGAGCTGAGTTTCTGGGAAGGGACTAGATGATGTCAGCTCGACTTTGCAGGAAGCTATCAAAAAGCTGATTAGGACAAAAACTGCGTATCATCCCAGTTGCTGTTGTGTTCCTGTAGCTTGGCATGAAGTGACTTTGACCATAAGGCGTGGTTAAGGTGCTAAACAGTCCTGAACACTGGGCTTGCCTGGGATTGTGCAACACATGTCTTGTTGTTTAAGGAAAACAGAGTTCACATCACACCCTTTAGAGGCTAAACTGACTAAAGCCTAGGTCTGAAACCTTGGCCATTAACCTTTGCACATCTCATGAATGTGAATTTACTTTTATGTTGTTGTTTTTTTTTCCTTGTGTGTCCTTTGTATTTGTAAATGCACCCAAGATTACTTGTGACCTATCATTAGTCTGCTGTATGTACTCTTTGTATAAATAAAGTTACATTGAAAAGAAAAGGCTTCTCCTTTGTGAGATCTAATCTTTACCAGTTAGTGCTTTAAACAAAGAGACGAGGCGTTATCACCTCAGGGTCAAAGCTGAGAGATTCCTCCAGAAATCTGAACCATGACTGAGTCTTATGGTAAGTATGCTCGAAAATGATTTGTTTTTGCATCATAGAGACTGAAAGGTTTCTCACAAAACGCCTCTTGAATTTTGCTGACTAAGGATGCTGGAAGAAAAACCTCTGATAAATTACAATGGCATAAGAGTCTAATGTGGTGTATTGTGCACAAGGAGCCTCCACATTATACTGGTGTTCACGCTGGATCCTGGGGGCTGTCATCAACCCTGAGAGGAGGAATGATCCTGAAAAACATATACGCCCCATGTGCCATGTCTGTGTAACCGGATTAAAAACATACCCAGCAGCCTGCAATTTCAGACTGAAGCCTGGTGGCTGGAAATACGTCCCCCAAAAAAATGGGTTAGCGTGATAAGGCCTATAGGAGGAGGCCCGTTTCTCTGACACATACCTCCATAATGTGACCACCCATTGAGGGAGAACAAATGACATGTGTCAGAGTCCGAAAAATGCAAACAGCGCATGGGTGCTCTTTTCATATGCGGCTCTTTGTGCTGAAAATCGCTGAACACACTGCAGGTCCCACTACATGCATGTGCTTCTCGCTACACTGCTGGGCAGAATATAAACACATTTGCTGGACAACAAAAGCTGTGTAATCTTAATGCAGCCTCCGTAGGTTACATTTCTACTGACCAGGCCCCGCCGCCTCAACTCAAACCTACCTGCACTGCCGTACGACTTTGCCAGCAGCCATCCGACACTTGCGCATATTTTTGATTTAGTGCAGTCATACAAATCCAATGGCTTTATGTCTGGGACCACAAAAGTCTTCCTCATGGTAGGGGAGTCCACCATAGCGAGTCTGTAACAAAATGGGAAGCGGTGCTGGCAAAAATAAAGAGGGGCTATAAAAAAAAAAAAAAAAAAAAAAACTAACAAGTACTATTCAAGCAATCATTCTTTCTAGTAGACTGTTCCACACGACCGGAGCTGGGAATACGGATGTGGTTTAGGGTTTTGTCGGGAAAATATCCGCCCCGGAGCAGCTTCCAAGCCAGCTAACGTCCTTTTCTGCGTAGTTCTGGAGACGAAATTCCTGCTTCAATGATGCCTCACGACCAGCTGAAGCCCCCGACCCGCCGGGCTGTGACAGAAAACCGGACTATTCTCCTCGTTTTTGCCCTTCTTCGTCCGCATTGCTGTGTTGTCACTACACTGTACGCAGCTCCACTTTAGTCCCGCCGATGACTGACGACCAGGTGCTCCACACTGGCAGCGCTCACTCAGCGAGCCGTCCAATGGGAGCCGAGCCTGGGCAGCGAGGGGGCGGGACCTCCGTGTGAACGCAGACAGCAGGTAGAGGTGTGGTGTGACTTCTGCTACAGGTGCATCTGCTGGCACACAGGTGAACGCCTGAGGGGGCACCTTTTCACTGGCAAAGTCAAACAGCTAAAAGTAGGAATATTACAATGTCACCAGCTATAGGTCTACTCTTATAGATTTATTCTTTTCACCCTCCTATTACCTTCAAATTTACTGACACATTTTATCCTTGGGTTCAATTTGACCCCAGCAGTTTAAACCTCCAGAAAATATCATTATTAAAATTGTGTAAATAGCCCTTTAAATAAAATGAAACAAAATATGTCAATGACCTATTTAGAGATGTAAAGCATTGAATGGGGTCAAGTTGACCCCAAAGATAATAAGAAGGTTAAGAACTGTTCTGTTCTAAATTAAACAGTTTCTACATGTACAGCTGATATAATTAGATGATTAATCAGTTAGTCAGCTGACAAATCAGATTAATTCATGTTGTAAATGACCATTACAATACAAAATAACTGAAAACGAGCTCCAGCTACAACAGTGAAGTCCTGCTTTTAAGGTTTAAACCTATTGATATAATCAGGATCAGAAACAGATTTATTGCCAGGCGTAGTTTACACAATACACTGGTGGGTTGGTGCAACAATAAATATAGAGTAAAGTACAATGTACAAGATACAAATTTTTTTTAAAAATGCAAAACATAAATATAACTGTAATAGTGCAAAGCAGAAGCAAAAAATAATGTGAAGAATTAAAGTTAAATTTAAATAGGAACCATAAAACTGTCGTGTTATTGACTATTGAGGGTGCAGATATATTGATATTTACATTTATGCATTATATATTATAACCATAATGTATAAAGGTTTAACAGTAACTTTTCTAGTGCAGTGAGTCATTTTCTATTGGAAGTACCTTTTAATGACAATATGTTTATTTAGATAAAGTTTTCCAATTTGCAATGACTTTTACTTCTAACAGCGTACGATTACAGAGCAGTGTTCCTTAGCTTTAGGTGTCAGTGCTTCCTCCACCACCCTCGAGCACCAAAAGCATGAATAAAACACTTGACTTGATAAAACTGCCACCAAATTACTGACCACAGCTTGTAGACTGTGTTTAATCTGATCTGATAAATGAACCAGAGATTTTTTGGAAACATGCTGCTACCGTTTTACGAGACCTAAGTGTGGATTTATTGATGCAAACCAGGCAGTGTGTCGTGTCTCAGCGCCTCCTGTGTGTTGGAGGCAACACAAAGCTGGACTCTCAGGTGCTGTTCATTACATTATAAATAGAGCCACAACAGAATCCTTTAACTGAGACCATGCAAAGGACTTTTCATGGTCCTCTACTGACATCTAGTGCCAGCTGCAGTGATGTCTGAGCTGAATCAGTGCACCGACTCTCAGGACCGTAGGAACACTGCCAAGAATACAGACAAGTATGAAATATTCATCTTTATTTTTCCCTATATCAGAATAATAATACATCATCTCCCTTAAACTGACCTCTTTAAGTCAGATTTCCTCACTCAAGACTCAAGACAAACACCCAAATTAACATTTTTCTTCTTATTCTCGAATATACAACAATGCTGCCAACAATACTACAATGTAAAAATACTCCAATTAAAAGCAGTATTATGAAAAGTAATCAAGATGCATAGTGTCCCCTTCAGAATACTTAATATTTGTTAAGTTATATTTGTTAGGATGTTCCACTTCACTACTATGATTCACCTTTCAGTGTATTTACTTATTCTGGCTGACGGAGGCTTTTACCAAGACTGGGTATGAATCCACAGACTTCCCTTGGCTATGGTCTCTCTTTCACTCTTCTGGTAGTTTGTTGCAGGAAAAGTGACAACTTTATTTTTTCTTTTGCACTTTTTTTCCCCCTTAAAGGTACTGATTTAGATAATCCTTGCAGACACTTTTCGATGTGTTGGGTTAACATAACAATATTGGTAATTGCATCAACTTAATAATGTGTGCATTAGTTGATTTAAAATGGAATCCAAGTTGAGGTAACTTAATGAAAATAGGGTCCTTGCCCTGCGGGCAAGGACCCCTGCTTGCTGCAGCAAGTAGGGGTCCTCGGACCCTAATTAGATTGATAACCTAATTTTTCTCCACCTTGAGTTTAGAATTTCACAAAATTGGGTGTAAATAGGCCTGTAGGCTGAAAAATGTTGCACAAAGGGCATTTCAAAATGAGTACAATGCAGAAACAAATAAATTCTGCTAAAGCAATGCTATTAATTAAATAATTTCAATTGTGATATGACCAATAGTTGCCTTATATTTATCAGTAAAAATGTGTCTATCATACCCCTCAGAGCCAGTATTGATAGACAACAGAGTTTAAAATTTTAAAAAAAATATATGAATAACTTCACTTTTGAGTTCATTAATGTAATAAAACTTAAAAGCTACGACATGAACAAAAACAAAAAACTACCAAAACAAATCGAATTGAAAGAAATTAACTTTTCACATTTGTCAACTTAAGAACTTGTGATGATGATTATGGTAATCCAGTGCATAACATCCATTCATTATCTATACACCGCTTAATCCTCACTAGGGTCGTGGGGGGGCTGGAGTCTATTCCAGATGACTTAAGGTGAAGGCAGGGGACACCCTGGACAGGTCACCAGTCTATCACAGGGCTACACTTAGAGACAGACAACCAAGCACACTCACATTCACACCTACAGACAATTTAGAATCACCAATTAACCTCTGCATGTTTTTGGACTTTGTTTAAGGAAGCCGGAGAAACTGGAGAGAACCCACACTGCACGGGGAGAACATGCAAACTCCACGCAGAAAGATCCTGGGTGTCCTCACCGGGACGCGAGCTGGCGACCTTCTTGCTGCGAGGCAACGGTGCTAACCACCGAGCCACCTTGCAGCCTCAGTACATAACAAATAAAATATAAATAAATAAATACAAACATGGAAAAACTCATTTCTTTAACTTAATTTTTTATGACTAATGAACTTATAATAGTAATATAAAAATACTAATTTGTAAGCTGATCTTTACTCTTGTATGGAACATTTCAGTAACTTTGTAGCTGTCAGATATCAGTGAAGTGAAAAGTAAAATAAAAAAGTAAAACAAATCTTTATAATGTAGTTAACTAGATTTATAAACCAGTGTAAATTGAAAATGTTTGCAGTTGTTTTTATGTGTTTTTTTTTTATGTTCTACACTGGAGGGAAAAAATTGCATTGATTAATTGCTTTGAAAAACATGTTAGGTCATATTTGTTGCTGTGGTGCAGATGTGTAGAAAAAAAACATGGAACACTGACACCCTGAGCAACTTTTAAAGTTAGCTGTAATTGTATTTGTATGCCAAACCTACATTATGGTAAGTTTGTCCTCCACATTAGACACACTAATTGCTTCTTTATTTGTTCACAATAGTCATTCAATGTGCAAAATAAATGCAATGAAAGTGATTGTCACAGTATCAAAGAAAGATTCATTTAGAACAGAATTAATTATATCAACTTATGATTAATCTTTGAATTATTGTCTGGTGCAGTTCAGCAGTGATGTCAAACACCTGCAAATACGGTCGTGTTTTTATACCTTACAGCGTTTAAAGCAGGTATCTGAATATTCAAAAAGTAAAAATACTAGTATTCTGTGTAAATCTATGTAGGAATAGTGGAAGATTAAATATGGAACACAGTTTAGTTGTTTGCCCCTAATTGTTGTTATTTAGGACCGTTTCTTTCCATTTGTTTTTTTGCAGTCATGTTTCCTGTAGCACCATCCACATTGGAAAACAGAAATCTCAAGAGTGCCTCATCACATGATGTTCAAAGTTCCAAGAGCTCTTCAAACGCTCCACTGCAGTAACTTTCTAAGAGGATTACCTCTCAGCTATTTTAATCTAATTATGAAAGAAATAATAATTCCTAGTCAGTACCCTTTCCAGTCCCCATTCACTTTAACTCCTCTGACGGGTTTGCAACAATTAAAAGTGCAACACCCTGACTTTATCAAATGCTGGGAATACTCACTCCAGTGTACATGAGGTGCACATACATTGTTGGAGAATTTAACAAGTATAAATTCATTTTTAATACAACTCATTCATAAGACAATATAAAGAACATTTCAGAGATTCAAAGAGACCAGCTAGCCATAGCCACAAGAGCTGGTCCAAAGTTCATCAACACTGCAAAGGTGACAAAAGGAAAACTTGTATAGTAAAAACTTTGTTTACAAGTAGACCCTCCACATCACTAAGTCACATTTTATAGCATTATTACCTACGACCTCAAAAAAGAAAATAAATCAGTGAGCCAAGTAAAGCTGCAGTTCTAAGAAAAAAGAAACTAGCATTAGGAACACTTCCAAATCTGCATTTACTGATTTCTTGTTGTTTGTTGAACATTTTATACAACCCCTGATTATTGAACCAGTTGTACAATAGTGGATCACAACATTTTTTCAAAAGTTATGAAATCTCTTCAGTAATCCTGGGGATTGCAAGCCACCCATTCAAGGCTTGCGTGTTCAACTCCACTATTTAATGAATGCTCCCTGCTGAAGAAACTATTCTCCTCCCTTATGTTTTCTAGGACAGAGCTTCCTGACAGAGAAAGATCTTTCATTTATAAGTGGTGAAAAAGACTTTTCACTGTTAATTCTTCTACAAAATGTTGTGCAGAAAAAAAGCACATCTGGCTTTAGTTTCGATCATGTAACCATGTATTACCATTTCATAACAGACAAACATAATGGCTCAATTACACCATTTTCTTGAACCTCATACTTGATAAAGACTGACACCATGTGGTCAAAACAAATAAGTCTTTGCATACTGAACCAGAAAAATCCACAGATGGCCCAAATACTGCCA